GTGTGGCATCACAAGCCACCGGACAGGGCATCGAGCCTCTGGACCTCCTGGTCTCTGCCCAGGGAACAGGCAGTAGCAGCAGCCACAGCAGGAGAAACTGTGCCCACATGGTCCACAGCGGCTGGGAGCTCATCTTGTTCATGGCCCTCCTGGATTCTACTTTTCCAGTTACTTCACTCAAAATTCACAACTGGTCTAAAATGAGCAATCCTTTTTCCTGGCCTGGGTGCCTACCCTGCCAGACTCCAGACTTTATAAAGGACAGTGTCTGGCTTACTTCTGCTCACACCCACACCCATATATCACCCACCACCCAAACCACCCCAGGGCCAGGGCCACCCACCTCTAAGCCATAAAAGGGAGGGAGGGTCTACTCTAAAACCAGTCATGGGGCAAGTGACAAACGTGACCACTCACCCACGGCCACGAGATCTGACCAAGAAAACAAACAACCAGATTTCATATTTCACATGTTTTTATTACAAAAACAAGCAACCAAACAGTTTTAGAAAATTACGTTTTGCTACATACCAATTAGGAAATCTCGAAACATAAGAAGCTGGAGTTTCCATGCACTCAGCTCAGTGCTTTCAGAGGTGTTTCACAGCTCAAACACTGGCCCAAACGGGCCATGCCACACCTTCATAAACAGAGGACCAAGGGGTCACGATGTGTGTTTTTGCCAAACATTCACTGTATTCAAAGCCTACCTAGTATGAGTGACTGTAATTGACTCTGGCGGGGGTGGGGAGGAGAGATCTGAGGAAAACAGATTTTAGAGGGAAAAAAATTCAAAATTAAAGTGGTGACATGGGAAACTTAATTTCCAAAACGCTGCCATTTGCTACCAGATGACTGTTTATTTGGTTAACATTGAAGACATCAAATCCACTGCTCAACAACTGATCTGTTATTTATTCAGGGAGTCATTTTAGTCCTAAAGAGAGCATATTTATATTTCAAGAGGGAAACAAAATCAGTTTGCTTCCATTGAACTAAGACACTGGGCTTTAAATCTCTCCCCAGAAGCTCATCATTCTACTTGGGAGAGAATGTCTACTTGGTAGAGGTGTCATTCCACTGCTTTGTCCTGAAGTCCCTCCCTAGGCTGTGGTCTTCCATATTCTCATCAGGGTTCACAGAATGACACACTATTTTTGCCAGCTATCACCTGACCTTGGTAAACAAGTCCATCAAACCTTTCAAGGCTACTGGATGGTGAGTCCTTCAGGTGCTGAGGACACTCTCTGAGAAGCCTTGAAGAAGGACCTAACCCCAGAGACTGCTTTTATTCCACACATACACACACACACAAAACAAAAACAAAAACACAGTACCTTTAGTAATTCAGAAATCCCTTCTGATTTATCCACAATAAATGCTTAACCACAAACCCACACTGTATCACACCCTATTCCCCCTCCACACACACACACACTGGGTTCTATTTTATACATTGAAAACTAGTTTATGCACTATCTTTGGCTTACATTAAAATACTGAGATAGGCTGGATATGGTGGTACATGCTTGTAATCCAAGCAGTCGGGAAGCAGGGTGGAGGCAGGAGCATTACCAGTTCAAAGCCAACCTGGACTACATAGCAAGACTCAGGCAAAAAAAAATTTAAAAAGGGTGGGGGAGATTGGTATAAAACTGGTCAGAAATCTGGACAAAATGGGAATTCTGAAATAAAAATTAAGAATTCACAAGGATAATTATATTTTCCCAACACTGAAGCTATATTAACTTGGAATTCCTATGTATCAGCCAGTTAGAGTCATGGAAAAACTGTACTGTCCCTTTATTTATATAAAGTAAATTGTATTGGGTTTAATATCATGACAATGTCAAAATACTTAATGGAACCTATCAGCTTTCTATAATGACCAGTTCCTGAAGCAGTAACAACCTAGCAAACAGTTTATTATAGGAGAGAGACAGACAGATTTCACAATTTAAACACCAGCAGATGACATCATCTCTGTGAGTCAGGGGATGTGTAAAGCCCATTCCCGAGTTCCTAACTTATTTTCATTAGTTCCTCATCTCACATTGAGCAATTCTGTTGAACAGCCAAATAATTTTCTAGAGAAAGATTTTAAGTTGAAGCCAGAGACAAAGGGCTTTTAGAGTTAGGATTAGGTTTTGAAGTAAGTTATAACCTTGATCATCATAAATAAATAATCCCCCAAACCAAAGAGTTTATGAAACCAAAATATACTAAGGTTCTTTTAAAAAGCAATAATAAAGGGATAGAAGGGAAAAGATGGAGAACAGGAAAAGGAAAAGAGATCCAGTGGTTTTTGTCTTTTAGATCAGGAGCATAAGACCAAACTTCAAGTGGGGGCAGCTCCCACTCGATAAGCTCAGGAGTTGTCGGTGTGGCACCAGCTTCAGGATCATAGCCCAGTCACATTAGAAAGAACACACAACACACACTTCCACTCACACTTACAGAGACTTACGCCTGTTTTTCTTTTTCATTAACTATGGACATAAAGAGTGGTGATTGGCTTAAATAAAATGCTTCCTAATCTCTTCTTAAAAAGCTACAAGTTTCTAATGAAAAATGCAACTAACTTACATAGCTGATAAAAGTTACACAGGAATGAGCCACATCCTCTCTCCTTGCAGGAAGCAGCCATAAGTCTCTGGTAACATAGTTCACTGAAGGTTTATACACAAATGCCCCCAAAGGTGATGGAAATAGTATCTTGCCCAATGGGAAAAGCCACACCCTAAATTTAGGGTGGAAATCCAATCTTCTGAACTCTTCTAGAACCCAGGAAATCCCTAGCCAACAACTCACCCTTTGATTCAGTTTCTTTATTCCCAGTTTCTATTCCGTGAAAAATATCACTATTGAAAACAATCATCTTTGTTGTCTCTCCACTGGGGAATCCACAGGATCTTATCAGATCAAGCTTGGGTTCCACCTACTATATGCATGGCTTCATTTACCAGGTAACTTAAAGAATAAAAAGCAAGTCCATCAACAGGGTGCACAAGACACAAGCAAGCACTTAACATTAGACAAACGACAACCCATTCTAAAAGAACCATGAGACAGGGATTCAAGATTTGCTGTGCCAAAGCAGAACTATTCTCCTGTCTGGAAATCAAAGGTGCTTCCTGAAATAAACAATTATCCATCTCCTCTCAGTAGTCCCTTTGCATGAAGCCTCTGAGATGGAGATTGCACGCGCGCGCACGCGCGCGCACACACACACACACACACACACACACACACACACACACACTCAAATAACATGGTTTCAAGGGAAGTGTCTGTTCTGGCCTCAGCAGTCCCACATTTTAACACTGATAACCCCATCCTCGGGGCCTGATACAGAAAACAGACCTGTGGCTCTGTCACCCAAGTCTACAGTACTTGGGGTCACAGAGGATCAAGAGGACAGCATAATTCCCACAAATGGCTATGCCAGTTTAATTAGCCATCATGAGTCATAAGAGGTCCCCTTCTCCTCCCCTGGGAGGTGTCCTGAGGGGAACTGCCCAAGAAGACATTTTGAAGTCATTCCCCAGATTGTAAGGCCACCTCTCAGTCGCCTGTACCCTGATGTCTTTTTGTCCTGATAAGCATCTCCCTGATACTCACACATCAGCCAATAAACAGGGGTAGATGAAACTAGCTCTTTGTCTGACATCCTGTATATAGACTGGAAACAAAACCAAGAAAATAAAAGAAATACAAACGGGGGAGGCTTGGTTAGAGGTGAAACTAGACTAACCACCCCCAGACAGGAAGTATTAAAATTAACCCCTCACTAGGAAACCTGGGGAAAGGGAGGCACTCAAGAGGCAATGGGGTATGCCTGTGGGTCTAACCTAATGACTTCCCCTAATTAAATACACTGCATTGTATTTAACAAAAACAAAAGCCAGCTGGATGGGCCCCTCCACTATGAGTGCTATTAGCCTCTGTCCTCTACCATGGCAGAGAAAATGAGTCACAGAGCCATCTCTCCTGCACACCATGGCACTGCATATCACACATCAGAGGTCCGTATGTTTTCGTCATCAAGGTTGAACACAAATGGCTTCTCCTTGGGGTGCTGGGGCTCCGACCTGTGCCTGACTCGAGAACTCACCAGCACCCCCGTAGCGTTGCTTTCCCCAGGGTGAGGCATGAATAAAGAGTCCTCTGGAACATTCTCAGCTGACAACAGCTTTTCCCCAGCCTGGGGGACAGGTGTCCAGGGTTGCCAGGAAGAGGCCACAGAAGGGGCCTTACAGAGAGCCCTTTTTTCTTCTACTGCTGGCCGCCGCCTCAAGATGGAGTTAGGCCCACTTGGGAGGCTGGAACTTCCAGGTCGAGTCAAAGAAATGGATCTAGAAAAGGATGGTTCCTAAAAGCAGAAAGAGAAGAAAAAAAATAAGGGATTTTCCTCGAATTGTTAACCCAAAGTCTCATGAAAAGTACCCACCCAGGATCACCAACTCAAACAGGGACACTTGGCTACAAAACCCAAGTAAGTACATTGGAGTCAGGGGCACCTGCAGTCCCTGCTCCCCAGGAGCCTAAGGCAGGAGGCTTGCTTGAGCTATGAAGTTCAGGACTGGTCTGGGCCACACAGCAAATTCAAAAATAATATAAATGCATTTCAAAAGTAAATTAATACATAAATAAGTAAAGTTATCAAGCAGAATTCAGTACACATGTTTGGAGATCTGCTTGAGCCTCGACTTGGAGGACACATTAGAAACTTCATCTCTGTCCAGCCCAACCTCATGTCCACCAACAAACCAAAGAAGAGGAAAAAGAAATGTCCCCAAGTAAGCAGAAACAGAAAAACAAGTGAGCCTGCCTATGGCTCAGCTGCATTCACAGCTGGGCTGCCTGCCTACATAACCAAATAAATGCCCGTTCAAAGCTAATTTATCTTTCAGAGGACACTGTGGCATAGAAAGGAAGTGACTTACTCTGGGGTGGCACTTGAGGGCCTGCACAGCTGCTCCAATCTCCTGAATCCAGCTGTGCATGTCTTCAGGGCTGTCCGCCTGCAAAACATGCACAACACTTATACACATTTAGGGGGTGTGATTTCAGCTTCCAAGTCTCTGGCTCAAGTTCATAAAATCACATCTTTTGGGCTCAGAGGGACCTTGGAAACCATGTAGCCCAGTGGCTTACAGACTTCTGAGGATATCCCACCCCCCCACACACACACACACAATCTCTCTCTTGATTCCTCCTAACTAAAACTGCTCAAAGTGAAGCTGCCCTAAGAGGGAAAGGAGTATGGGGTGGGGGATACCCTAGTGCCCCATCTGTTGCCTAAACCCATCACCCCATTTATACCCCATATGAAAACAGTTGAGCCACCCCAGATTCCTAGTTTTTACCCCAAAGGAAAATGAGGCCCAAAATGCCGCAGTTCCAGGTCTGAGGCTGGTCTAGACCCCTCATCTCTCCCATAATTATCTATCTGAACAGGAGACTCCTACTCTAAATCCCACTAAAGCAAACTCCCTCTGCAGACCCTCCCAGGTATACACAACCATGTATGTGTGTTGCCAATGGAAACCACGCCTTCCTCCAAGCACAAGCTACTTAGGTCTGTCAGGAAAATTTACCCCAGCCTTGAAGTGACAGTTAAGCTGAAGTACACAATAGCAGAACTGAGTGAAGCATGTCCCCTACTAACAACCTCTTCAGCCCAGAAGGGGGCAGCAGCCTCTCTATGGAAAGAGGAAGACAGAGGAGCCCCGCCCCTGCAGGCAGAGCCTCTGGGTGCCTCCCAGCAGTAAGACGCAAGAGTGTAAGTGAATACAGATAGCTGCAGAGGGCCCTATGCAGTAGCTGCCAAAGAGTGGAAACAAGGCTTAAGTTCCGCTGTCCCAGCACCTTCCCCTATCCACCTGAACACAGAGCTCTCTGTGTGTGTGTGTGTGTGTGTGTGTGTGTGTGTGTGTGCTGTGCAGGCTATGTTCTCCACCTGTTCCCCTTGCTTGTCCATACCCCAGCCCACTCTTTGAATTCTACCAGGATAAAGCAGGGCCGATTTGCTTTTTATGGGGTTTTGTTTTTCTTATTTTCTCTCAAATTTGCATTACTACTCCCCTTCCCATCAACCCCCAAGCAGAGCCCCTTGGTTAGCCATGTGCAGCACACACCAACAAAGGCACTAGGTCAAAAAGAATGACGAAGGCCTGTGGTGCACAGCTCTAACACCTGCTACCTGCCTCTCCCTACGATTCTTTATTTATACTTGCCTCTCCCCCATGATTCTTTCCAGCTACCTGGCAATGTAGTAGCTTTCCAAGAAAAAGATAAATACACCCCTGGTCCGAAGAGAGTAGCCAGAATTAGGTAACCAAACTTTTCCTAAAATCAGGATGACAGAGAGCCTGTTCCCTAGACAGACCTACAAGGAAGAACTAAGTAAGCTGTGACGTTCTACTGTTTGACAGTACCCAGACAGCAGGGCACTCGATGTATTAGTAATGATTGCTATTTTTACTATTCTGTGGTAAGAGGGGAGCCAATAAACCTGAAACTCTACCAGCATGGTGACATATGACTTTAATCTCAGCACTTGGGAGGCAGAGACAGGTGGATCCCTTTGAGTTCTAGACCAGCCTCATCTACATAGGGATTTCCAGGCTAGCCAGGGCTATGTCGTGAGACTGTCTCCAAACAACAATAAGGCACAATGCATTCTACCATTATGGATTTATTCAATGCCCTTATCCTGAGACATTTTTCTTCTAATTACATGTAAATCCACCCCCAAAGGATCAAAGGCTGGGTTGGGTGTCAGCGGCAGAGCACTTGCCTAGCACATGCAAAGCTCTAGGTTCTAGAACCAGCAAAAAGCCAATTTTTGTTCGGTTTTTTGAGACAGGATTTCTCTGTGTAACAGCTCTGGCTGGTCCTGGAACTCACTCTGTAGACCAAGACTGGCCTCAAACTCACAGAGATCCACCTGCCTCTGTCTCCCAAGTTCTGGGTTTAAAAACATGTGCCACCACCACGGCCTGGCACAAGCCGAATTGTAAAAAGGATCAAACAGGATAACATATTTGGTGGAGAAGAGGTTATTATGAATTTATCAAAAAAGCAGATACTGCAAATGATACTGTATGAAATGAAAGTAGATTTTATAAAACACCCTCAATAGTTTTAACCACTGTTCTATATTTTAATTTCAAAGTTATTTTTATGCGGGATGGAGAGATAGCTCAGTAGGTTAGAGTGCTGCTGTGCAAGCAAGAGGACCTGAGTTTGAATCCCCAGGACCCATACAAAAACTGAGCATCTGCATATGCCTGTAACACGGGGGGGGGGGGGGGGCCCAGACAAGTGCATTCTGGGGGCTCACTGGCCAGCCAGCCCAGGTGAAATGCCAAGTTCCAGGTTGGGTAAGAAATTCAAAGTGGAGAGCTCAAAGAGATAGCTCAGCAATTACAAGCATGGGCTGTTTTGCTAGAGGACCCACTTTTGATTTTCAGCACCCCCATGGTGGCTCACAACTGTTTGTCACTCCAGTTCCACTTGATCCAATGCCCTCTTCTATTCACCACAAGCACCATACACACATGTGGTACACAGGCATCCATGTATACAAGGCACCCATACATAACAAATAAAATGATTCCAAAAAATAAAGTAGAAGTCAACAGAGAAAGACATTGACATCCTCCTCTGGCCTCTGCACATATATCACAGGCATGTGTCCCACGTATAACACATGAACACATACAACACACATTTACCATCATTTAAAAATATTATTCAAATATAAAAACGAGTATCACATTTGATTCCACACAAGAAAGAAATATCATTTCAGAACTGAGGTCCATCCAGCCCAGGTGACCTACTAGGAAATTAAAAAGTGCCCAACACTGAGCAGATAGAAAGGGAGATGTCACGTGTACTTTCCTCTCTCCCTGCCCTGCCCTTGTGTGCATTATGGTTTCCCCTTGATGGCAGTTTGTAAGAAGAGAGCAAACTTCCAAAATAAATTCTTTCAACCTGTGGGTTTACTGCACTCCAGTGAGCTTCCTAGCATCAGTTGAGTCCAGCACTAACGAATGCAGTGAGTGATGGCAGACAACCACAAGAGACACCCACTATCTACCTCTGGGTAGCACTATAACCCATGAATCTCCAGCACTGCCTTCTTCCTTTGATCCCCAACTTCTTCCTTTCCCAAATGAACCCTGGATGATTGTATAAATTATACAGGGTATAGTTCTAGGAAGTGGTTGACAGACTTCCTAATGACAAGACCCTTTAATATAGTCATGTTGTGGTTACCCTAACCATACAACTATCTTCACTGCTACTTAATAACTGTCATTTTGCTTCTGTTATGAATAGCAATGTAAAATCTGCTATTTCCAATGATCTTAGGCACCCCTGTGAAAGAGTGGTTTGACCTCCTTGATCACCCAAGGTGTCATGACCCATAGGTTGAGAACCACTGTTCTAGGTGGTACACTTTACCTTAGAGTCTAAGTTATGAAGTAACTACCCACGAGTTCTTGCTTTACACTCTGCAAGTCCCTTGTCACTCTTTGAATCAGTACGGTTGTCCTAGGAGTGAGCTAAAGACCATTTCACAGAGTTCCCATTTCTAGCAACAAATACTCCTGATAAACTGCCAATACCTCAGGCCCTCTATGACTAGGAAATGCAGATATGGAGACCCTGCTCTGTATTTCAAGGATTGAAAGTCAGATTATGTTTGGGGAGTTGCTGGAGACTGGCATCCGGACTTTCCACATTCCAGACAAGAGCTAAACCCCGGAGAGGTATCCCAGCTCTGAAATTTCACCTTGAACCCTTGCCCAGACCTGAGAAATATCTACCTTCAGACAAGACCAGTTCACTGTACCATTTCCACACATGAGAAGCCTGACTACTACCCAGATCTGGTCAGCTTCCAACATTTCCAGTCACCCCAGGTTGGTCAAAGTAGATTTTTTATTTTTTGGTTGTGGTCATATCCTCTACACAGTGATTCTCAACCTGTGGATCATGACCTCCTTGGGGATTGCATGTCAGGTATCTTGCATATCAGATATTTACAATATTATTCATAACTGTAGCAAAATTACAGGTATGAAGTAGCAATGAGATAATTTTATGGTTGGGGTCACCACAACATGAGGAACTGTATTAAAGGGTCATAGTGTTTTGGAGGTTGAGAACCACTGCTCTACAAGCATAGGCTCTGGGCCTGGCCACTCAGCACAAGCAAGTCTCAAGTACCAAATACCTGTCAGTTGGTTCCATAACTCACTGAGTTTCTGATCCTGAATGGATCATTTATCTTTAAAGCTCCTGTCTCCTCCTCATGGATAGATTGGAGATGAGGCACAGGTAAACTATGGAAAATTAAGCGATACACTTCTGGCTAGCTACTGCTCAGCAGTGGCCCTGAAACATCTATGCAACAACAGCTGCTTTTCATGAATTACTAAGAATGCCACAGTGTGAGACCACAGAGTATAGGTGGTATATCTAACCCTGCTGCCATGGCAGTCTTTCCTACCCCAATGAACTCAATCCCTTTAGAACCATAAGCCAAATTAAACCCTTTCTTCCTAATTGCTTTTTTTTTTTTCTTTTGGTTTTTTGAGACAGGGTTTCTCTGTGTAGCTTTGGAGCCTATCCTGGCACTCGCTCTGGAGACCAGGCTGGTCTCGAACTCACAGAGATCCGCTTGTCTCTGCCTCCCGAGTGCTGGGATTAAAGGCGTGTGCCATCAACGTCTGGCCCTTGTTACTGTTAATCATTGTATGTTATCATGGTAACAGACAAGTAAGCAATACACTTAGTGCTAACACTGCTTTTCCTCACAATTGCTTGCCCTCTGTACTACCAGGGAGTTAGCAGGTATCAACCAGCACAGAGCCTGAGCCACACCTCTGGGATCTGTCTTCATCTCTCCTGTTCCCCTTCACACAACAAATTCTCCAGTCATGGAGAATGGACCTTTTCTGTCTATTTGAAATTCATCACTTTCCCTCATCCATCTAAGTCCAACCCCCAAATCCTTATCATGGCCTTCAGATTGGCCTTTTTAATCCCACGTTGCCCATTTCTTATCTGCCCTTCATGATATCTGGGGTCAAGTAGTCTTCAGGGTCATTAGAAGCGCTGGGGTTAAGTTTTTAATCTCCATTTTATACATGCAGAAAATGAGACTCTGGATATTGTCTGAGTCCAGAAGCTGTTTCATATTGTTCTCATCTTACCTTTGACTTAAAGACCAAATATAAACTTGCTATAAAAGCAGAAAGAGCAATAAGACTGCCAATAGCTGTGTAGCCTACCTCACAGCTCTCTATTCTCCTTCCACAGGCTCTTGTCATGAGGCTATTCCCTTGCCTGGCCTCCTCTCCCTCTGAGTCCTTTGGTCACCATCTTCCTTCAGAATACCTTTCCTGCCTCTTTCTCCCCCAATGGACAACAACAGTCACCATCCTAATGGCAGTTCCAGTAGTCACAGTTCTGTGGAGGAGTTGCTTTGGTTTTGTTTATTAATTCCCTTGTCCCCTTTGGGGTTGGCTTGTTTTGTACTGGTGGTAAGTACGTTTGGATTCTTTACCTTCTGCCACTCATGAGGGGATTCCCTGATCTCCTTGATGTTACTTCAATTGCAAATGCTAAGGGCTAGTCTTTGTGAAGTTCTAGACCAGTTCCCACCAACGTTAAGTATTACACAGCATAATTTACGTCGTCTAGCAGATTTCCCTGTTCATCTTCTACCAAACGTGCGATATCAGTTGCTTGATTACTTAGCTTAAAGATCAGTTCTGTCTAATCCATAAGCCCAACCTCAGACCTAAGCCCTTGACCATAGTCTACGAATATCAACTCAACAGCTAGAGACTTGTGTTAAAGTTCAGGCTAGTCCTTGTGTCTGAATGGCAGGGGAGAAAGAACAAGACTTAAGAGCAAAATGAGCCCTTCCATGATTCAATCTGCTCCCCTGCCTCCCCTCTGCCATCTCTTCCTGAACAGTGTGCTTGTCCCAATGAGTATGGCCTGAAGACATCTGAGTCAGCCAGCGTGGCTGCTGGCCCAAAGTGGAAAAAGAGTAGAGACACAAGACCTATTACTAAAAGAATGGGAGACAGGCCTCATCCAGTGAGGGGGGCGGGAGCCTCCAAAACTCCGCTTGGGAATACTGCATATTTCACCACTAGAATCCCATATCAGCCCCACACTGGAGACCAGCACACTCGGTGGGCTGCTGGGTAGCCTAGGCTGAGGACTTGGCCCTGGAAGTCCTCACCCTGCTTAGAAATCTGCCTGGCTAGCTGTTGTGACTTAATACTAGATTGGGAGGGCTCCAGATCTGAGGGTGGGGGAGCTCCTGGTAAATGAACGATCAGAGCCCAAACAATGGCTTTCTCTGTGCAGCTGGCTATGCACCTGTGCCCGCACAGGGCCCTCTGTGCCTCTGTCTTTCTGCACACAGTAATGTCCATACATAGGCAGGACTTATAAATACCCTCAAGAGCAGAAGTGAAACCACCCACCAGTTCCCCTTTTCTCTGCTTAGCTGGAGCTATGCTGCCCAGTGCAGCTGCTACGGGCACACATCCTCCAGCACAGTTGATTGACCTGTTTGTAGTGTCCTAGGGGAGGGAAACTCCTGGCTAGCATCCTCCTTAGAATGAAACGGGGCACAGACTGACTAAGGGGCTAAATTGATCACTGAGAAACTGCAAGCTCAAGAGAAGAGAAAACAAGGGCAGGGGTGGGTGGGGGTGTCGTTCACCCACATTTGCAGAGAAGTAACACTGGTCTTGGGATAAGCATTTACCTGTACGTAGAATGTCCTGGAGGTGGTTATGATTTCAAACAGGTTGTCCCTCATTAAGAGATCACTAGGGAGGGAAAGAGAAAGAACATTATACCAGGAATTGTGAGTACTTTGCTTTGCACAATATATCCTACAGTTTTCACTAATGCATCTCCAGACTTTGTCCTGTCTGTGGGTAAGGTAGCCCAGGTTCAGAGACTTTAAATGCAATGTCTGCCCAAGGTACTAGAGATCAGCACCCACTGAGTCCAAACATGCCTCTTCTAAGGAAGCTAACGTCATTTCTAAACCCTTCCTTCCTCCTGGCCAGCAGCTCCACCCATAGCTCTGAGTTCCTGCCCTTGGCCTCATTGCACTGTCCCAGGGGACAAGGAGCTAAAGAGAGAAACAGAAATGGAGAGTAAAAAAGCTTTAATATTCGCTTCCCAGGAAACTGTTCAACATCCTTAGCCATCAGAGAAATGCAAATTCGAATTATTTTTAAGACTTCATCTCACCACTGTCAGAATGACCCACAGCAAGAAGATAACAGATGCTGGCAAAGATATGGGGAAAGATGAACCCTTACTTACTAATGGTGTAAACTGGTACAGCCACTATGGAAATCAGGTTCCTCAAGAAACTAAAAATAAAATGGCCATATGACCCATCTATACTACTCCTGACAGGTTGCTGGAAAGACTACTTTCTACTGTGAAGATACTTGCACGCTCTGGCAATTACTGCATTACTCACAATAGCATGGAAATCATATCAACCTTGACGTCCATCACCAGATGAATGGTACACAGACACAACAGAATGTGGTTGGTTGTAAAGAAAAATAAAGGGGCTGGATAGATAGCTCAGCAGTTAAGAGCATTCCCTGCTCTACCAAGAAGGCCTGAATTCAGTTCATAGCACCCATATTAGGAGGCTCACAACCACATGTCACTCCAGCTTCAGGGGATCTGACACCCTCTTCTGGCCCCAACAGGTACCTGCACATATGTGGCACACTCACACAGATAGTCTACATCCATATAAATAACGGAAAAAAAATTTAAAGAAAAATAAAATCATGGAATTTGCAGAAAAACACATGAAACTGGAAATTACTACAATAAGCAAAGTAACTCAGACTGAGAAAGACTGGTAGTATGTTTTTTCTCTCACAGGTGGATCATAGACTTCAATTTTTATATGTGTGTAAATTTAATATACACATATTATGTGAGGGTGAATAACACATCATGAAACTAGAAAAACCATGAAGGCTGGCAAGGTGGCTCAGCGGGTAACAGCTTGCCAGGTACCACCAAGTCTGACTTGGCAGAAGGAGAGAACCAATTCCTACATATTGTCTTTTGATCTCCACATGCACGTGTGTGTGCATTCGATCACACATATAAACCAACAAGCAAATAATGGGCAAAAAAATTTTTTAAAGAAAGGAGACCATAAAGGGGAAACAAAGAGGTTGTGAGATGGGGAGCAGAATGGGGATGACCGTGGGTCAAAGGACCAGCATGGAGAGTGGAATGAGAGAAGAGTGGAGAACAAGAGACAACAAAATGAAGTAGATATGAAAATGGCATATTGGAACATATTCCTTTGTATGCTTGCACAAAATAAATGTAAAAATTAGTTTCCTTTGGTGGAAAAAAAAAAACAGAAAATATCTGCTTCTGGGGATAGAGTGTAGCTTAGTGGTGGTGCACTAAGACCAAATAAATAGATGATAATAAGCTTCACACACACACACACACACACACAGAAAGAGAGAGAGAGAGAGAGAGAGAGAGAGAGAGAGAGAGAGAGAGACGCAGGCAGGCAGAGAGGGCATGAATTTGGTGGAGATCAGACAGAGAGGGAAATGTGGGAGGGTTTGGAAGAATAAAAGGGAGAAATGTAATCAAAAAGAAAAGAACAGCAGGCTTCAAACAGGGTGTGGGTTTTGGAAGAGAAATCCTGACTGCTGCCAAGCAGAGGGCAAGAAGTAAGTGGTGATGCTCAACCCGAATTGACTGACATTGTTTCCTATGTTCACTGCCTGCAGTGTGCATCCAGTCACCATGGGGACTGCTTGAGGAGTAAAGACCTAATTGCTACCAGGAAAACCACCTGAGGAGGCAAGACCAGATGCAGGTAAGACTGCATTCCATGTTAATAAAGAGCCTCGTGCCAAGGAAGGGTTGGTCACAGGCAGAAGTGCCTTCTATAATGAAAACACACAAGTGACATGGCCAGTGACATGCCCTCCAGGCAGAGCGGGGATATGTAGGTAGGGTGCATAGACGGGGCCCAATCACCAGTGACAGAAAAAGTCTTTGGGACATATGCTATAAATGTTGCCAGTACTTGAGTGGGAAATGGAAACAAAGATGCTTACTAATGGCCATCAGAGGCAGCCTGAACAGCAGGGATCTCTTGAAATACATCCACCAACTACTCCTCCTCCTTCCTGAGCTACTCTCCATATGAAAATGCCTCCATAAGATCAGGCTGTGGGCAAGCCTGTAGGGCATTTCTTAATTAGTGACTAATGTGGGAGGGCCCATCCCATTGTGGGTGGGGCCATCCCTGGGCAGGTACTCCTAGGTTCCTTAAGAAAGGAGGCTGAGCAAGCCATGGGGAGCAAACCAGTAAGCAGCACTCCTCCATGGCTTCTGCATCAGTTCTTGACTCCATGTACCTGTCCTGAATACCTTTGATTATAAACAGTGATATGAGAGTGTAAGCCAAATGAATCCTTTCCTCCCCTAGTTGCTTTTTGGTGTTTTGAAACAACAACAGAAAGCCTAACTAAGATAGGGCTAAATGGTTTCACCTTCTAGATTATTCATGCAAATGCAGTAAGTCCCAGAATCCATCAAGGAGATGAAATCAAACAGGAAGGGAGTTCTACTCCTTTTCACATCCACTGCCCAGGCTGCTGCTTTCAGTTCATTTCAACAGCAATCATTGATTACAGCTGTCCTGAATTCCCACCCCCTCAACCCCCATGGCTCCAGAGAGGCTACACCATTGAACAGAGCTGAGGCCTCAAAGCCACAACCTTCCCTGTGGACTTCACCTCCCTGACTCAAGTTCAGTGTGACTCAGGCAATTAGAGGTAGGGCAAGTTCTTAGGACTCTCAGGCTGAACCCTACCCTAGCTCTCCAAGATGGGCTAGCATGTCCCAAGTCACCTCATAGATCTACCCAGTCCCTCCAGGGTCAGGAGCAATCAGTGATCTCTCATGATCTAGCCATGCTGAGTTCTTCCCTCTGGAGCCACACTCGGGGAGATATCTACTTTCATGGATTAACAATTATCCCTGGGTGCCTCCCCAGTCTTCTGTACCCTCCAAGGGCTAATTGGAAAGATTTATCACAGCATTTCTGCCCCTGCTTCCCTGAATCAGGCAGCATGTGTGTTTAGGTAAAGTGGTGCCATGCTTTCGCAGGAGGGCAGGATGCCTACTGCTGATAGATCCCCTCATGGCCTATAGGAGGGTGAGATTTCAAGCACAGTCTAGACAGACTACAGCCTCGTGAAAGATATGCTTGGGGTCTGTTAAGGTTCCCTTGTCCACGGGCACCTGTATCTGGGGCCCAGATATGGGATAGTCTCTTGTCAATCCCTGAATTACCCTACGCGCACCAAGCACTCAGAAGGTATGTTTCCTAGTAGAAAGAGGAACAAATAAAAATACTTGTTTCTGCCAAGTGGTAGTAACATAAGCATGTTGTGAATCACCCCCTGTGTTAAGGGGGCATCAAGAACAAAAGAGGAATGACAGGCAGTAGTGGCCACTCCTTTAATCCAGCACTCAGGAGGCAGAGGCAGACGGATCTCTGAGTTTGAGGTCAGCCTGGTCTACAGAATGAGTTCCAGGACAGCCAGGGCTACACAGAGAAACTCTGTTTCTAAATAAATAAAATAAAATAAAAACCAAAGGAGGAAAGGCACTCAGTCAACCATAAGGACTCTTAAACAGAGCCTGAAAGGGGATAATGAATGAAGATTTAAAGAAGACAGAGGTTCTGCTCAGAATGAATAAGAGAGGCTGGAGAAATGGCTCAGCAGTTAAGAGGACTGGCTGCTTTTCCAGAAGACCCAGGTTCAATTCCCAGCACCCACATGGTGGCTGTCTGTACCTCCAATTCCAGAGGATCTGATTCCCTCACACAGACACACATGCAGGCAAAACACCATAAAAAAGAAAATAAAATATTTAATGAATAAGGAGAGGCAATTACCCAGACTTGACGAGACACTCGTGAGTCTTGAGAACATCTTTGAGCAGTATAGTACGCAGAGGCTCTCTGTCCTGGTGGGAAGAATGGAATATGGACAGGTGAGGCTACGTAAATGGCCCAGTGACCCACACCAGCTCACCAACATCCCTCTCTCAGAGTCTTCGCTAAAACCAACCTGGTTTCAAAATAATCATTAAGGGGGAGAAATCTAAGCAGCTACTGTGGCTCCACCCCCACGGCAGCCTACCTTGCAGAGGCTGGCAGCAACCCAGGTCCTTTTAATAGCATCATAAAGAGACACATGTTGAACAGAAATAAGACAAAGAGGTGCCTTGGAAGTCTATGTGGGTCCGGTCTCTGGTTCGGTGATCTCTCGAGAGGGACCGGAACCTACTACCCACCTGCTCACACTTGAAGTAGCAGATGGTAAAGTCATCGAGGGCAAAGAAGCGACGTTTCCAACTCTTCCTCTGAAATGCAAAATAAGAAGCCAAACATTAAGGAGAGGTTTCCAGTGCCAGGACTAGTGTTGTCACAATAAATGCCCAGGGAACCAGCACCATGGAAGCCAGGCTTTCATTGTCATTGGGGACAAGTAACAGGAATAATGGGAAGTGTGAAGGCAGTGAAAGATCCAGGCCTCCATCTGAGCCTGAGCTTCCCAAGGCCAAACATCTAACTCTTAATACTGCTGCCACTAGAAGCTACTGCTGTGCTGGCTAGTTTTATGTTAACTTTGACACAAGCTAGAGTCATCTGAGAGGGGGGAACCTCAATTAAGAAAATGTCTCAAATAAAGTGAGCTATAGGCAAGTCTCGATTGAGAAATGCCCTCATAAGATCCAGCTGTAGGGCATTTTCTTAATTAGTGATCAATGGGGGAGGTCCCAGCCCATTATGGGTGGTGCCATCCCTGGGCTGGTGGCCCTGGGTTCTATAAGAAAGCAGGTTGAGCAAGCCATGTAGAGCAAGCCAGTAAGCAGCACCTCTGCATCAGTTCCTACCTTCAGGTGTCTGTCCTGCTTGAGCTCCTGTCCTGACTTCCTTCAGTGATGAACTGTGCTAGGGAAGTGCAAGCCAAATAAACCCTTTCCTCCCCAACTTGCTTTTCAGTCACGGTGTTTCATCTCAATAACAGAAATCCAGACTAAGACAACATAGGAGCTCATTCTCTTAGGAGCAAGAGTCTTAGGAGCAAGAGTAGGGGGTTGGGAGGAGGGAAATTTGCCCATCAGTTTGCAGACTGCATCAGTTTGAAGGCAGTGAGGCTTCTTCACACCAGGGACAAGTTTTCTTGGAGGTTTATGGCTCCTTCCCAGTGATGATCAGCATAGAGGGGGAACAGCTCCTCCTGTCATTGTCCTCTGCTGTACCCATGCCCACTGACTCTGAGGAATCACCAGAACCCCAGGGTAGCCCCTGTACTGGCACTCACCACATTCCCTTGCTTCACACAGTAGCCACTCTTAATGAGAGGAGGCCCGGTGGAAGGACGGCAGCCTGACGTGGGGATGTAGCTCTGAGACCTCCGCAGGAAGGCGTGAGACCCTGGCTCAGTCCCTTCCTGCCCATCCCCACCATTCTACAAGAAAACAGTGTCACTGTTAATGCCCAGGTCACTCCTCTGGGCAGCCCAGCTCCTCCCAGCCTTCCCACCACACCCCTAGCCTTTTTGATATATGTCAGTCAAAGAAATAAAAATTAACTTTGCTTCCAATCAGGCACTCCACTGAGTGTTTTCACAAAGCAAGACACTGGCTGGAGAGACCCAGAAGAGGAAGGACAGACAATATAGACAGAAGAGGGCACAAGTCCCCAAATGGAAAGAGGGACTGCAGACTTGGGTCTAGTCTCACTCACTGCCTCAGCCACATTTCCTTTAAGTTTTAAAAGTGTTCATTGCCCAGATCTTAAGCAGAAGCCCACAGACCACACATCCTCAAGATGTCATGATGTCATAGCCTCAACTTCTACATTGGCCCTGGCCACACCCACCCTGCACTGTATTTTCATGGTCACCCCTCTCCACCAGATCCTTCATCCTGTTGCTATGTGCTGGTCCTTGGGCACAATGGATATTTCTTTACTGCCCCCAGCAGCCCTAACCAATGGCACCTGGCTGATGGGTGTTTGCACCACCACTCCCCCGATGATCTCAGTCTTGTAGGCCATCTGAGGCTTCTTGTCTGGGTTGGGAGGAGCAGTTAGGTTTCTGAGAACTTCAGTGGCCATGGGTACGGCCCCCGCCTTGGGTACCTGGGAAGAAGAGAGGTATGGTCAGCAAGAAATAGAAAGACTAGGGAACAGGCAGAACCACAAACAGGATGTGAATGAGTGAAAGGAAAAGCTAATTTACTAAAGGACGGTAAGAGCACTCTCCTGTCCCCTCCAGCTCCTCCATGCATATCCATATCCAAATAGGAGGAACTCAGCAGTAACCCCTTACACAACCTTACACAGTGACACACACAAATGCATACATACATACGTACACACAAGCACACATACACTTTTATTCACATACAATACACAGATACAGACACACACACAAATGCACGTCTACACATGTACACACATACACAAATACGCACATATACACATATATATACATGCAAACATATATACACACACGCAAACACACACACACACACACACACACACACACACACACACACTGAACTTACTATATACATATATGAGCTAACAGGATGAGCTAACCCTGATTAGAAAGCAAAGATCAAACACCAGATAGAACAGACATGAGTCCTATCTTTTTGGCACTCATATGCTAGTAGTTAAGACCGGACAAAAAGTCCCCAGCAAAACAAGGAGTCAGAGTATTTATAAATGAGCAGGGCATGGTAGAATATATACATGTGTACACACACACACACACACACACACACACACACACACACACACAATCTGCTTCCTGTGAGTGTCTGAGGAAACACCCCATATCCACAGTTCAGAGACAACACACAGCAAGACCCTTCCTCCACCAGCCTTGCCTCACCCTCCCTTTGTGCAGGGTTACCAAGGGTTACCAGAATAGTAAATAGCTGGCATACGCCTAACATGGCTAAATTTTACTCTGCTTGGGTCCAGCAACACAAATGCTGGACATACATGTGTGTATTCATGGAACTCTAAGGTGTCTGGAAGAATAATTTGCTCCAGCAATGGGCAATTTTATTTTAAATCATTGGAAGACCAATATTTCCGACTGCATGTGCTGGCTAGTCTTATTTCAACTTGATAGAGAGGAGGGAGCCTCAATTCAGAAAAATGCCTTCATAAGATCCAGATGTAAGGCATTTTCTTGGTGATTGATGGGGGAGGGCCCAGCCCATGGTGGATGAGGCCACCCCTGGGCTGTTGGTCCTGGGTTCTATAAGAAAGCAGACTGAACAAGCCATGGGGAGCAAGCCAGTATGTGTTCCTCCATGGCCTCTGCATCAGCTCCTGCCTCCAGGTTCCTACCCTATTTGAGTTCCTGTCCTGACTTCCTTCACAACAATGGACTGCAATGAGGAAGTGTAAGCCAAATAAACTCTTTCCTCCCCAGACTGCCTTTGGTCATAGTGTTTCATCACAGCAATAGAAACCCTAAGGCACTGTACAATACAGAATTTCTAAGTTTTCAGCAAACTGTGGTAGACCTGACTCTGTCAGACTTGCTGGGTTTCATTTTGCTGTTGTTCTTTTTTTTTTCTTTTTCCTCAAAGCAGTTTTTGCTATAGTCACTAAATATTCCCCAAGTTTGATGCTTGGTCCCCAGCTTGTGACACTATTGGGAAGCAGTGGAACTTTCCAGATATGGGACAGAGTGGGAAAAGTTAGGTCATTGGGCATATGCCTTAATGGGGATAGTGGGACCTCAGCTTCTTCTTGCTTTGTTCTTTGCTTCCCAACTACTGGGAGATGAACAGGTCTCCTATATCCCAAGCTCCACCTCGATAGCTTGCCTCATCACAAGCCCAAAGCAGCAGGGATGCCCCATGATCTGCAATTAACCTCTCCTTTTTATAACTAGATTATTTCAAGCATGTTGTCACTGTGCTGGGAAGCTAACTCATCTTTCCCCCTCTCCTTCCTTCTTACTCTTCTCTATTTCATTCTTTAAAGATATTTTGATAGAATATGAAATAAATTCTTCTTTAGCCAAGTCCGGGAAGACAAGAGTAGTTAACACAGTCCATGAACAGGCTTCAAAGTTAGCAAAGCTTTTAAATGGAAAACTTTACCAGACACGACAAGGAAGAGTATTCCCTAAACTAGAAAAAAAAATAGATCTAAGTTCCTTCTCATTCCCCAACTTCTCATAGTCAGCAATCCTTTTTCCAGCACAACACTGAATCAGCATCCCATAATTACCCAGAACATGACTGATAGGAGCCCCTCCCAGGAAGCACAAAGGGGACAGAACACTCCATAAACTTCCCCTTGAACTTGATGCAAACGAACTCTCAAGTTAACTTGTTGCTGTCAGCCAATGGATAAGAGGAGATTAGACAGAGCTGGCTCCAGGGCAAGTCCCTGCTGCCTTCTAAGTTCTGCTCCTACCCCTCTGAGGCCAAACACTGGGACTTGCCAAGTTCAGAAAGAACAAAAAGTATACATACGGTAATCTTGCTGGCTTGGTTCAAAGCTTCAACCCAGTCCTTCAGATCTTTCTGGTCATTGGCTTGAAGAAAGTATCTCTGAGACAGGGCATTGATAACTGTTAAGAGTAAAGGGGAAGGAGAGAAAATGTTTCAGGTCAGAATTCTTGGACCACAAGAGCCCATGTTAGGATGTCTGAGGTGACAAGACCCATAGAGGCTATTCAGCAGAACCAGAAACTACCACATGCTGTTAAGTCACTTGCATATTCAGAAATGGCAGAGCACAGCAACTCATCTTTAAAAGCAAGGATTCTCCCATCAGCCACCAGAATGACACTGGCAGTAAGAATAGCTATTCATAAGACATCCATAAGATACTCATGAAGCATTGTGCTGGGGACCTAGTACTTGCTTCTACCAGCACAATCTTGTCATGTCTGTGCCTGGGAAACGGAAGAAGGCTTGCTGGAGATCAGGTCTGTGACCTTGACCTCATTTTCAACTTGTTCTTCCCTCTGACATTTCCTTAGTCAACAGCTTACCTACCTGTCATGGCCCGGCTTGCCTCAGCTTTAACCCACGACAGCCATGAGGTTCTACCTGAGTGGGGGTATGTGGGCTTGGAAGCTTCTAGTAACCCAACGGCGATAAAGACCAAACATAGGCATCTTGCCATCTTTAGAGAGCTCTCAGTTCCATGTTGTGTAACTAGAGCCATTCCTTTATTATTACCATCTTTTCTGGTGTCCCTTAACCATCATGCTAGTACCACGAGGCAACCATTTCTCTCTTTGTCCTCTTCTCTCCCTCTGGCTTTGTTCCTCTCCTTTTGTCCTCATCCATTACTCACATATCTCTAGCCCTCCGCCCAGGTGAGGGCCTATTTAGATGCTTAGGCCCCTACAGATGCAAAATAAGAGGCATATTACCCTCAGGCCAGGTAAAGTTACAGCCTGGTGTTAATTAACAATAAAATGGTGACTCAGAGTTTCCTGGCGCCATCACTGTTTATGTCAGCCAGGGCCTGAACCCAGAATATTCCATAATAGGGATATTTGGTCCCCCACACTTACCACTGAATTTTTTTATTATTAATTATTGTCTAGACATTATTAGATGAGCAGACCACAAAATTTAAGAGTGATTTCTGAACTTAGTAATGATATTTGGAAGAAACGGGAGAAAGAGAGCACCAATCTGAAGTTGGGAGAAGGAGGGGGTCCCTTCAACCCTCTAGCATTGGCGTGAAGTCAAGTAGCCACTGCAGAGGAGACCAAGAACTCCCTTTGTGGTTCATATAACAAATACTTGTTGAGTACCCACTATGTGCCAGCAGCCATTCTATGTGCTGAGAACGTGCAGTGACAAAACAAGAAGCGACTCTGCCTCCCCGAAGCTTATGTGCAGAGCCTCCCTGAACACAGAAATGTCTCCGCATTTGCTCTCAGCCACGGAGTCACTGGACTTGGCAGCGGCACAGAGGTGTGAGGCATTGATGGAGCGGCTCTGCTTCCTAAGGCCACTAACACCACCCCCAACTGCCACTCTTTTGGCAACCTTGAGACCCTCAACATTCCTTCCTTCATTTTAACTCTTTCCCGCCTATTTGCCTTCTCTCAGACCTCCTCATTTCCTACATCACCACTCGATTCTAAAGTGAAGGCTCCCAGAAACTTCTACCAGATGTTTTCTATCCACCTTGTAGCATCAAGAAAACTGAAACACAGCCACAATTTAGCGTGTAATCTCAGCACTTTGGAGTCTGGGTACAGCAGAAGCAAAGTTCCAGTCCAGCTTGGGCATGGAGCGGGAGGTGGGGAAAAACTTAAAGAGAGGGGGGAAGAAAAAAGAAGAAGGGCAGGAGGCAGAGTGAGCAGAGGCCAGCCTGGCTAAAACATGGCTGGCCCCTGTGTGCCTGGTCACAAGTTATTAATAATTTTGCAGTGGTGTTACTTGGCATCCAGAACATCGCTATTATCTAATCCACTCTCACACACAAGATACAGTTCACATGGGACCACAGGGCTGTCTTCCCTGGAAAAGAAGTCACATGTCCAAGAAGAAAACCCACTGTGGCTCAGTACTTACCGAAGCAGAATGGAGTTTTGGGTTTCTGCTTTGGGGTAGCTATGCTCACCTATATCAAATAAAGACAAAAGAGACATGAATTTCTTTCCAACAGTATAAAAAAAAATGTTTACTTGGAAATATTTCACACATAAAAAGAGCATATCATATGTACATTTCGAAGACCAATAATTGAGAGTCTTGCCTTCCCTTAAAAAACTGGTATTATCTGCCCTACTCCTTAAAACAGTGGTTCCTGACCTTCCTAATGCTGTGACTCTTTAACACAGCTCCTCAGGTTGTGGTGATCCCCCAGCCATAAAAATTATTTCATTGCTACTTCAAACTGTTATTTTGCTACTGTTATGGATTCTAATGTAAATATCTGATATGCATGATATCAGATAGGTGATTCCCAGGGGTCACGACCCACAGGTTGAGAGCCCCTGCCTTAGGAGCTCATTGTACTACTTCCATGATAGAATCTTTACTGTACACATAACTGCTATCTTTTTTTAAAGATCTTATTTATTTATTATGCATATATTATTATGCATATATGCATATGTATTTATTGTGAATTCTGCTTCCATGTATATCTGCACACCAGAAGAGGGCATCAGATCTCATAATGGATGGTTGTGAGCCACCATGTGGTTACTGGGAATTGAACTCAGGACCTCTGGAAGAGCAGTCTGGGCTCTTAACCTCTGAGCCATCTCTCCAGCCCCACATAAATGCTATCTTGATGCCTGTGTTAATTTTTGTCTCTGCAAGAACGCTTTAAAAGCCGCTGGGTTGGGACAAGATTCTCTCTGAGCCACAAGATCCCATTCATAACCAGCAGGCTCCTACTACGGTTGCAAGAGCTAATGCCTTTCCCCTAAACAGTCTCCTAACTGAAAGTAGTATTTCTATAGATATATAAACTCTGATCAAAGCGGAAAGGGGTGGGGGTGGCAAGCACTCCTGTTATTTAGATATGCTGTCCAAAGGCCTAGCTACCTATGCTGGCCCTGAACACAGACAACTCTCCAGCAACCCAGACAACGGCTGCCAGAATAAGTGAGCTCACCTGGTATTTTCAAGAACAGGGCCTGGGAAGTTGGGAACACTGGTGTCCTTCAGCTAGCTTTTTACAATCCCACCTCTTGCATGGGCATTGCTGTGAATTTGCACAGGAGCCCACATCACTCAGGCTCATGTTCCATCACAGCCTACAGAGATTTGGTGGTTACCCTAGATGCTGGTCTAGCCACACTGGAACACTCTTCACACCCCACTTGCTAGGGATGCATAGTGAGGCAGCACTTACCATGGGACCTATCCACATACAGTCACCATCCCGCCCTGGACACTGCTCTCTCAGTTCCCTTTCTATCCATCCTGGGTCTTCTTGTTCTCTCAGAACTCCGGGACTTGGGATTAGAAGCAGGAATTAAAGTCTTGACGTCAAAGTGATGTCTCCTTGCAGCTCACATTTGCTAAAAATCTAACACTGAGTGACACACCAGTCTCGAGGCTCCTGTTGTTCTTGACCCTAAAGTCTTCCTAAAGACCTGCCTTGATTCCTTAGCCAAAATTAACATTGCCCCAAATACTCAACCAGGAACTGAGGTGGTGCCCTATAAAATATCAAAAGAATAAATAGCAGAGGCTGGCTTTGGGATCAGTCTCAAATCACAGGTGTGTGGCCTACGTGGCATGGTCTGTCAAGAAAGGAATCATAAAGTCATGATCCCATGGAGTTAACATGAGCATGGATAGTATAAGCAAGAATCTCTATGGCTGCAGCACTGCCATATAGAACCTGCAAATCAAAGAGGGACTATCATTCCAGAAAAGGGTGCACACAGCTGTAATCGCAGCCCTTGGGAGGCTAAGACAAAAGGATCTTGACTTGTGGGCCATCCTAGCAAGGTTAGCCTGGGTTACATGGGTGGACCCTATCCTAAAACAAATCACACACCAACACAATTGCACATGCACACATGAAATAATGACGACGATGATGATGATGATTTCAAATATGACCTGAAAAAACTGCTTAGCTTCCAACATTAAAAAAAAAAATGCCTGGCATTTCCAATGTTAATGATGAAATGCCTGCATAACATTACATCATCCTCAATGACAAGTATTTAAAGCATACAAGATGTCACATGACCCCTGTTTCTGAAGGTACAAGGATGAAAGACTGCTTCTGCCAAGGCCTTCCTACTAGCAGAGTGTCAAAGCTGCACAGGGCAACACCAGGGAGAGTCGGAGAATATGCCGACGTGTGTGTGTGTGTTCTGTCCACTGTACTGATGAGTGAACCCTCAAGTGGAGGCCCTGTGGCCTAAGAAAGCCCTGAAGAACACGAAGGGGAACCACAAATCTGAGCTCAGACAGACTCACATATGCAGTCATGTCTGCACACTTCACAGGTAGCACTCAGGGAGCTGTCAACCCTTGCCCTGAGCGACCTTGTTTTCCTGAGGTTCAGTATAAGCCAGTTGCTGAGCTTCGAGCCACTCACTTCCTAGCCATGGCCTTCAGCATCTGTGTCCCCCAGGCTGTCATCTGCCTCTGCTATGCTGGGTCCCTGCATTAATCCCCAGTGTCACACAGAGGACTGTGTTCTGTCCCCTTGGCTCCCACCTGCCTCCCAGATCCCTTCTCATCCAGCTGGTAATTTGGGTGGCACTGAAAAGCTCTGTCCCAGAGGTTCTCTCTCCTCGTATTTATCACTGCCTAGACAGAGCTCCACTGGCTGACCCTTTCACCCTACATGGATTACAAATGACCACACTTGCTGCGCTGATTAGTCAGTCTGGGAAAATGCCACCCATGCAGTTATCGTGAGAATCTAAGCTTCCAAAGGCAATACAAGGCTTTCTGCTTGTTCTTCTCTGTGTATGCACTTGATAGCCAGGAAGCCCATGTGTATGTGCATTGTCAGTGTGCCTCAGCCTCATGACTTAGCATGGAAGTCTTGTTGGGCAAAGTAATGCATTGACAAATTAATGGGGTCGATCCCAGTTCTGGCCTGATTGGCCATGGAACAGGGTTGAGAGCCTCCACAGACCGGCTTCTCCCTTAGTAATGCCAACGTGAAAAGGTTAAATGCTCTTCTCATAGACACAGAACAGCAGGGGCAGGAAATGAATGTGTCCACCTGTGGCTATGTCCACAGAGAAGGGCTGCTCAGAACTCTGGCTTTGGCCTCTCTCCCTGTCAGCATGTCCCCAGAGGTTCAGTCCCCCAATCCACCTACCACCTGTTGGTGACTGTGCCAGGCTGCAGCAGCCATCTTCAAACACAGGAAGAGAACAAAGGACCCACAGGAAGCAGTGTGGCCACAGGTGGGTGAGGACATCCAACAGTCTGACTCAAGTGAGAGCACCCAGGCACAAACATCCTCACACCACACGGCGGCCACAATTGAGTCACTGGCCAACAGTGGTTTACTGGCAGGCCCAATAAGCACGCCAACAGCAAGAGAGGGTTGGAATGTGAAAAGAGTGTCCATGGGGCCCCCACGGAATGACGCACAAGAGCCACCAGCAGCTAGCTGAACAGACTCAGAAGCTTTTGCTTATCAGATCAAACACAAACCTCAGAGGGACACTGTGAGGGCCAGCCACACCATGTCTGCCATTGACCGGAAGTGGAACTAGGGCCCCTCCAGCCGAAGGAACAAGAGCAGAATAAATCTTGGAGAACTAACTCTAAGCATCGCTGGGGAGACTTGTCCCTCAAGGGGGCACTAAGTGAGAAGCCACTGACACAGTCATCAGAGGGCTTTCAGGTTGGTACATACATATGTAAGCATATTTATCTGGAAAAGGAATGAGTCAATGCTCTTCACTGAACTGACTATTACAATGGTCCTCATCCTTACTAACATTGTGACCCTTCCCTTTAATACAGTTTCTCATGTGTGGTGACCCCCAACTATAAAATTATTTTCATTGCTACTTCATAACTGTAATTTTGCTACTGTTATGAATTGTAATGTAAATATCTATGTTTTCTGATGGTCTTAGGTGACCCTTGTGAAAGGGTGGTTTGGCTCCCCCTCCCCAGCCAAGGGGTTTCAACCCACAGGCTGAGAACCACCGCTCTAGCGTATCCAGGGCCCTCATCCCCAAGCCCACAGTTAATAACCCACATTTTAGTTAGACCTGTTATCTATCAGAAGCCCTCACAAAATAGGTCCAGCCTGGGCAGGATTGGGGGCTGGGAGTGTGAAGATGTCTGGGATGGGAGAAAAGAGCTATGACAAAAAAGTCGCAACAACATAGGACAGGTTCAGTTATTTTCTAGTTTGCCCAAAGACTGGTTCTGCTGCCATGATGCCCGGAACCAAGATACTTGCATACCTGGAGGGCCCCTTCCCCTCCCACCCCACTGCCAATCCCCCCAGTGCCAGCCCCATCTTCCCCACACTTGCCTCCAGGAGATCAGGGACAAAGCAAACCATCACATCTGACACTGCAAATGACTGACCCTGGGGCTAACAAAAAAATGAGGACTCAAGAACTCAGCACCACCACCATAACCTGGGTATGAGTTCTGGCAGCCGGTCAGCTGGAGGAGCTAAGGCACGCAGCGATCTGTAACCTAAACCAGTGGTCCTTGAGGGTTTTTCAAAGACCCATGCAGGCTTGCTTGTCTCGGGAAGGGCGAAAAGTCAGGTCACCCCTGCCAACGAGGCAGAGGGACACCAAAAGTCTCATCTGGGCCGCATTTATAAATCATGATTCAGCAGGAGATTATATTCACTCTTCCCTGGCCAAAAAAAAAAAAAAATCTTTCCAAACCCTTGCACTGCAGAGATGGTTTCAGTTTTCATTTTTGACAGGATTCTTTACCCCCCCCCCCTCAATTCTCTTTCTGGAGAAATGACCTAATGTGCTCACAGCAGATGAGAAGAAAGGGCCCCTGGGAGAGGAGGGAGGAGGAGAAGGAGGGAGGGCTGGGCTGCCCTGGCCCGGGAGGCTGCCACATTTCTTATCAAAAGGCAATGCACAAATTGCCTGCAGCTGTGTTAGCAAAGCTGCACTTTAACCATTCTTCCCCTGAGGCCATTATCTCCTCTCTAATCGCTTCAGCCACTGCCCATCGTCTTCTGCCTCACCGAGATGTATCAGCCAGGTTCTGTCTGCAGCTGGCAGGCACGACATAAGCCTGCTGGTCCAAGCCAAAGACGCCCACTCCTCTCAGGACATCTCTTGACCCGTCTCTTTTAAGCATGCCCCATGGGAGCTTCGCACAGATCTTAAATCTATTGCCAGACGGATCTGGTAGCTGCTTAGCTCAACCTGAGCCCCTAGGTCCTCAAAGTCCCTAAGGTCCTAGAGTGGGAGAGGCCAGAAAAGAACGAAGCAACCCCTATGAGAACTGGAGTGGGGGACGGAACTTCCGCAGCGGAGCTGGCTGGGTGCCACCTGGCTCTCTGTTCCTGCTTTTAGGAGAGAATCTAAATCCCTGGCTTTTTTTTTTTTTTTTTTTTTTTTTTTTTTTACAGGGGGTTTTTGTGGCTTTGGTGGGGATTTTTGTAAAAAGAAATAGCTCTGCTGGATGAGGGCACAGACCACCAGCTGCCTGCCCACGCTCCCTGGAAGGCACCCAGATGTTGAATGTGGTCCTGGTATATCTTAGGGCCTTCTGGGGGATATTCTCAACCCTCCCCGTACAAGCATTCAGTCTGGAGAGTTGGTAAAATTCCATGGGGCCCCAGCCATTTCAGATCCACTGCTCAGTAGCTGTACACTTTGAGGGAATCTTTCACTGCATCAGGGTCATTGTCCCTGTGTCCTTTGGCCCAGTTACCAAAAAAAAAAAGGTTACATCCTCTGTAGTGCTTTATTTTGTATGTGAAATGACTTCCAAAGGCCAGTGATGACATCTGGAACTTTGAAGAGGTGGGGGCACATGGGAGGTCCTTAACAGTCTAGGGGTATCCTCAGGAGAGATTATAGGTGCCCAGTCCCTCTATAATTTGTGCTCAAGCCATGAGGTAAGAAGCTGGGCCCCATTCTGCCATAATCTACTGCCTCACAGGAACCCCACAATCATGACTAAGACCTGGAACACAGTGACCCAATGTAAACTATTCTCTTTATAGATTATCTCAAATATTCCTATAGGTCTGGAGAGATGACTAACTGGCACATCCAAAGTGTGGGCCACCCTCCCCAGTGCCAACCCCCACCACAAAGACAGCAGACCTTCCATGGGCAATGCCTGGGAAAGGGAAACAAGGTAACAGCTGTGAATGCCCCCAAGGCTCACACCTCCGGGGTGTGGTACCTGGCTCTTGCTTAGACATGAAAACTACTTCAAGAACATGGCTTCCCAGCATGTTCTTGCTGGGAAGAACCCAAACCAACCTTACCTTCGAGATGTAAGTCAGCTGCAGAGATCCAACAGCTCCCGCCCCAACTGCCAGGTTCTGAAAGACAAAGCAGTAAGAGATACACCAGTGTTCTAGTTCAGTGTGTGTCACTGCCACTTCGGGTAAGTCACTGTCCTCACCTACAAAGCACTGGTAATAATTCCTGGATAACAGGGTTCCTGGGGACAAACAGAAGCTTTAGCCGTACCCCCTCACCCCACCGTGTCATTAGTCTAGGACAATGGTTAGATGTGTGTGTTTCGACATGTGACTGTGAAGTCTCTTAACTAGCCCTCAGTTTCCCCTGCTGTAAAAACAGAAGCAACCTCTTAAACAGTGGGAGCAAGGGCTGTCTCCGAGTCTTTTACTGGCTTTTGGGACCCTCACTTCTCATACTGGGTGACCTTGCCCAGCCTTAATACAAGGGGAGGTGCTTAGTCTTACTGCAACTTGATATGCTGTGTTTTATTGATACTCACAGGAGACCTGCCCTTTCCTGGAGATGGAAGACGAAGCGTTTTGGGGGTGGGAGGGGAGAATGGGGAGAGGGACTGAGAGGGGAGGATGGGAGGGAGGCTGTGGCCGGGATGTAAAATAGATGAATTTTTAAAATTTTTAAAAATAATAAAATTAAATTTAAAAAATAAATAAAAATAGGTCAATTTGGATTAAAAACAAAACAAAACAAAACAAAACAAAACAAAAAACAAGAGGCAATCTGAGTTGCCTTTATCCAAACCAAAATGCTCAAGATTCAGGGGTTTTTTTTCCTAATTTTCCTTTTTTCGGGGCTGAGAGTTAGCAAAGAGATATTGTGGTCCTCTTACCTCTACTTCCGGTGGGGGGGGGGGGGGGGGGGAGATTACATTTGTGTGTCACCACAACCCGGAGCTTTAAAAAAAATATTTAAAGGTAGTGGCGCACACCTTTAATCCCAGCACTTGGGAGGCAAAGACAGGTAGATCTCTGTGAGTTTTAGGCCAGCCTGGTCTATAGAGTGAGTTCCTGGACAGCCAGGGCTACACAGAAATACCCTGTTTTGAAAAAACACACAAAAAATATTTACATAAAAGTTGAGAAGTCTTAAGGACACATAATTCCATTTGTGCTTCATATACCCATTATACAGATTTCTTGGAGACTGTAATTTTATTTTATTTTTTTTTGTTTTTGTTTTGTTTTGTTTTTCAAGACAGTGTTTCTCTGTGGCTTTGGAGGCTGTCCTGGAACTAGCTCTTGTAGACCAGGCTGGTCTCGAACTCACCGAGATCCTGCCTGCCTCTGCCTCCCAAGTGCTGGGATTAAAGGCGTGCGCCACCACCGCCCGGCGAGACTGTAATTTTACACAATGCTTTTAGCAACCTTGTGTTCTGATGGCAACATACCACATGAGTTTAGGTGTTGAATTTTCTACTTGTTATCATGTCAACGTTCAGAAGGTTGCAAATTTGAGATCATTTCAGATTTTTAGGTTAGGAATATCCCACCTATAGCCCCACCCTGGTAATACAGTGATGAGGTGGTGTTAACACCGGGGAGTGTTTCAGTGTGGAATTTCTCTGGCACACAGGGACGCTCTGCAAGTGTGACCTATAACATCTTTTCTGCATGACTGCTCTGATTTGGCCTGCTTTGTCTTATTTGTGTCATTTCAACATTCATTTCATAACATATAGGAAACAAACTCATATGATACAGATTTTTTTAACACGCCTGTGAGCTTACTTACTATAATACATGTCAAATGAAATTAATGTCTGAACACATAAATAAAAACCAGTAAGAAAGCATGCTACTAATGCAGCAAGATTGGCTAAGGGTGCAGTGTAATGGGAATGCTTGCCTAGCATATACAATAGTTTGGGTTTCATTCCAGAACTGAAAAAACACAATAAAAAAAAAAAAAAAAAAAAAAAAAAAAAAAAAAAAAAAAGCAGGGAGCTCCAAATATTGGGCCAGCAATATTCTACATGACAGACCCTTCCTGGCTTCCTGATTTCTGTTGAGAGATGATACAAGGTAGTGACCAATATTAGAAATCATACCAAGGAAGTTCCCAATATATAGACTGAAAACCCATTCCCTTACAACCTGAGTCTGTCTGAGAACCCACCTCCACAGCCAGAGAGTCCATTGAAAACCTACTCCCATAACTTGAGCCTGCAGCTCCAAACAACAGAAGTGCCCACCCCCCGCCCCCTCGCAAACAGGGTTATTACAAAGCAATGAAAGGAACAAAATCCAAAATCCAGGATAAGAAAAGTTAGGAAATTTACCTAAGGATTAACAGAGAAATGGTCTACCATTCTAGAGACTGCCTTAAGAAATGTCTTGGTGTTGGGTGTTGGTGGCACACGCCTTTAATCCCAGTACTCTGGAGGTAGAGGCAGGAAGATTTCTGTGAGTTCAAGGTCAGCCTGGTCTACAGAGTGTCAGAACAACCTCTAAAACAATGCAAAGAAACCCTGTCTTGAAAAACATTAAGAAAGAAAGAAAGAAAGAAAGAAAGAAAGAAAGAAAGAAAGAAAGAAAGAAAGAAAGAAAGAAAGAAAGAAAGAAAGAAAGGAAGGAAGGAAGGAAGGAAGGAAGGAAGAAAAGAAAAGAAAAGAAAAGAAAAGAAAAGAAAAGAAAAGAAAAGAAATGTCTTGGCTGGAGAGATGGCTCAGGTGCTAAGAGCACTTGCTGCTCTTACAGAGGACCCAGTTCAATTCCTGGCACCTACTCAGTGACTTACAACTCTAGTTCCAGGGGATCCAATGCCCCTTATGGTTTCACAAGAACCAGATATACATGCAGACAAAACACCATATAATAAAATAAGATAATAAATATTTTAATTAAAAGAAATCTTAGATTTCAGAAGAGTCTTCTAGCCCATTGTCTAAATTAACACATATCTCTGAAGTAAATTCATTGTGTCAAATTTCCTGTTTATATTGTCCCTTGGAGAAGGGGAAAGGATCACAATCCCCTGAGCAAATTGAGAGCATGGGAAGAGGGGGGTAGGGAGCCACGAGAATG